ATACAATTAAAACAAACAAACAAACACCAGCAGTCGGCGCAACCTATAAGGCCTTACCTCTCCGATGCTCGATTGGCTGCAGCGGAGGTTTTTTGGGGATATACATTTTAATTAGGCTAATAAAGAGGTATTAATTGCATTAATATTCCTTTTAAAGGATAAATACGCGAAAAAAACAAACAAATTCACACATTAAATGCCCCCTCCCCATGCACAGATGAAGAAGTTCGTATTGCAGGTTCCCAGCTGTCTGTACACCTCAAATATATCGAAATAGCTGCATATTTCGTCATTAGAGAAATAAACGTCTGTAACTAATATTATTTATTTCACTTTTATATTGTTTTTCATACTTTTATCCACTTAATCTCCTCTTTACCTAACAACAAACAACAAAACTACCGGCGCACGCTTTCTGCATATGTACGATATGAAGTAGGAAATACCTCTTAAAAGTTGTGGAAGAAGTATCTAAATTAAAAGAAATAGACATATAAAAACCAATTAAAACAAATTAAAACATAAACAACAAATACAACAAGCAAACAACGCCTCAGCTGCAGCAGCGACCGGCTGGTTTCAGGTGTATGTGCAGCTGTTTGTTTGCATAAATCATCAAAGCAACACAACAAAAGAAATAATATTTCTATTCAGGTTCAGTCCAGACTGAATAAAGACCCTGACAACAACCTGCATGCTTGCATGCATATATATATAATTAGAGCTATACGCATGCTTGCATGGATATAGCTCTGAGTAAATATTAAGCAGAAAATAGCTAGAAGGGAAGTGCGTTTCTTAGAAAAAAAATTAAAAGCTAAGCAGAAGGTTTTTCAATCGATAAATAAATATAAAACCAGATATATTTTGAATAAAGAATTATTATTTTTAAAGCTTATAATAGACAATATCTAATATATTTAACAAGCAAATATATAATATATATTATTATTTCTACAAGAATAATATATTATGAAGGAAGTAGGCCTCTCTTTCTTAAGACAGCTATTTCATAAGGAGGGTGAGTAGGGGGTTGGGTAGGAGGAATTGAGCTGTATGTACAGCTCGATATTTTGTAATTTCTATCTGAATCCATGCCTTTTATGTCTCCGCAATTAATAAAAGGTATCAGCTTCCCTATGACGTCTTCCGCCCACAGAGATGCTAAATCTAAGCTGCTGCTTACTTCTTCGCTTGCTGCTGCTGCTGCTGTTGCTCCTGCTGCTGTTTCTGCTGCTGTTTCTGCTGCTGCTTCTGCTGCTGTTTCTGCTGCTGTTTCTGCTGCTGCTTCTGCTGCTGTTTCTGCTGCTGTCCCTGCTGCTGCCGCTGTTGTTGCTGCTGCTGTTGTTGCTGTTGTTGTTGTTGCTGCTGCTGCTGTTGTTGTTTGTTGATCTGTACGGATATCTTTTTCTTCGTTTTTAATATTAATTATCGGCGACAGTTTAAACTGTGGGGTGTAGTTCCGGCAAACAAGAAAAGCTTCAATGCTGCTGCTTCGTGAAGCTGCAGGCTTACAGCAGCGAACATCAGCAAAGAGAGAGCCAAGCTGCATGTACACCAGAGGGGTTTGCTCGCCTCTAAAGACTTTGCAAACAAACGTACCTCCGGGTCTTAAAACATCTGCTGCTGTTCCTACTGCTGCTAGCAGCAGCTGCAGCTGAGTAAACTCATCAATATCTCTTATACCTGTAACATCCGGTGCCCCATCACAAACAACTAAATCTGCTGGTTTCTGTTTAAAATAAGAAAGAATTAATGCACTTGTTCTTGCATGCGTTATATCTCCTTGCAGTGTATATACACCAGGGATAGGAGCTAACTCCTGCAGATCTACCGCAACTATCATAGGCGGAGCAGGAGGTGATTCTGCTGCTGCTGCTGCTGCTGCTGCTGCTGCAGATTCTCCTGCTGCTCCAGCTGCTGCTGCAGGGGGAGTGCTGCTGATGCCGGAGCTTGTCGATGTCTCGCTGCTCCCAGTATTTTGCTTGTCCTGTTGCTGCTGCTGCTGCTGCTTCTGCTGCTGTCTTTTGTTGTATTCTTTCAACTTTAATTCGTAGTTTCTCCACAGGCGACGCCTAAGGACCTGCGTCCAGCTGCCTGGTGCTGCACAGAGGTCAACAGCACGATGGGGGTAATCCCAAACAGAAAGTTCAGGTGTATATGCTGCAGCGCTGCTGCTGCTGCTGCTGCTGCTGCTGCTGCTGGTGTCGTTGTTATTGTTTTTATTGCTATTCTTCTCCCTAACTTTTCCAGGTGTACGCTCAACACAAGAAGGCCAGGTGGAGTCGGAGGAAGAGGCTTCGTCATCATCAGAAGAAGAAAAAGAAAAATCTGAGCTTGCATCTGTTAGGTCTTCGTAAGGGTTGGATTGAGTTGGAGGGGAAAGGAAATGAAGTTCATCATCTAATTGCAGCAACTTATAAGCAGAACGAGCACGAAAACCTTCTTCTTTAGCTCTCCTATAATATATGTCTCGGCGATCGCGAGATATACGCCCCATCGTTATTCAACTTGCAATGCATGCAGAATATGAAAAAACAGAATAAGGCTCTTCCCAGCCACTCTTGAGGCAAAATAAAGGGTTTTAATCAATAAATAACTTCAAAAACATTTAAACAATATGAAATTTCAACCAAAGAAAAGGGAATACCTACATATAAATGAAGGTTTCCATCGAAACCCGTCAATACAAGATTTGCGGAGGGGAGGATCTTTGAGGTAATATTCACGTTCTGAGTCATCTAAGGAAATAAACTATTAATATTATTCTTTTTCTTAATAAATATTCTTCTTTCTCTCCATTGAATTGAAGGATTTTACACGAAACTTCCATCTTGCATGCCTTGGGGCCCCCCATGAGCAGCGGTCTGTCTGTTGCGATATCAGTCTTCTTCTTCGCGTTTGCACTGGAGGGGAAGAATATAAATATATAAATATAAATATAAACATAAACACATTTGTGGAATATTGAAGACTTTCCGTTGCAGGGCTTTTGCAGGTTGTTTGAATAGTGAACGCAGAATATTTTGCAAATCGCGAGGTGTACAGACACCTCAGCCATGCGGTTTATTCAACATTAATATTCATCTTCTCTTCATGAAATTAACTCTTCTCATTCCGCAAACTTGTTTAAACTTGTAGTGCCCGTTTAAATCATTAAAACATAATTTGAATTATATTAGACAGTATATGTATGCGTATGTGCATAAATGAATATATATATATATATATATATATATATGTTTGCTGTGTTTGTCTTTTCCTTTAATTGCTCAACAGCATTAATTAATTAATTGCTTATTCTTGTTTTTATGTATTTGTTTGCTCGCTAATGCGTCTCATTTATTTTTTTCGTTTTGAGGCCTGTCTTTTATTTAAAGGTTTTATTATGATGTTAGCACTAAAAAACAAAAAAAATGAAAAAAGTTTGTTGGTTATTTTGTTGTTTTCTTCTGCTATTATTACTAATTGTTTCTATTAATTGTTTTTATTAATTGCTTTTATTGCTGTATTATGTTTTGTTTGCTTCGGACCTCCTTTATTTTATTTCGTTTATTTCCTTTGTTCATCTCCCTCTCTCTATTTTATTTTATTTAAATCTTTTTTGTTGTTTTGTTTGTCTTCTTTTTGTTTTATCTCTTTCCCTCTTTTGTTTGTTTTTTTCCCTCTTTGTTAATTTCCCTTTGTTTACTTTTATTGCATTTGTTTAATCTTCTTTTATTTTATTTAATTTATTTAATTTATATTATTTACTTTAATCTACTTTGTCTTTTCTTCTTTTTTTCTCATCACCATTTTACTCGAATTCACTTCAGGGCCCCACACCGAAAAGCAAGAAGGACCCTCCCGCCTGCAGCAGCAGCAGCAGCAGCAGCAGCAGCAACAGGAGTAGAGGAGTTACAGCAGCAACAGCAACAAAAGCAGCAGCAACAGCAGCACCAGCAGCACCAGCAGCATTAGAGGCATTAAAGCTACACAGCAAAAACAAACAAATAAAACAAACAAAAAACAGACAAATAAAACAAACAATGATGAAGAAAAGAAGAAAATAAAGAAATAAATAGAGCAAACAACAGCAATAAACAAATAAAACAAACGACATAATAAACAATCCCTTCAAACAGACAAAAACAACAAACAAACAAACAAAACAAACAAGCAAAAGCAATAAGCATACAAATAAAACAAATAAATAAATAAATAAGAATGCATCAAAGGAGAAGCCCCTTACCTTGTCTTTATAAATGCATAAATGCTAAGAAAAGTAAAAGCAAATGAAGAGATAAATAACAACTGGAAGAGCAAACAATTTAAAAAAACAAATAAATCTTTCGTCACTACTGGCGGAGAAGACAAAGAAAAGCGAAACCTAAGACAAACAAACAAACAAATAAATAAACAAAACATAGAAATGAACAAATAATAATAATAATAATAATAATAATAATAATAATAATAATAATAATAATAGTGATAATAATAATAATAATAATAACAAATAATACTAATACTAATAATAATAATAATTAATAATAATAATAATAATAATAATAATGTTAATAATTAATCTAGTTGAATATAAACACAAATATTAAAAAACTATTAAATAAATAAATAAATAAATAAATAAAGCTAAATGCATGCGTTTTATCTCTCACAATTAGTTATTAATATTTAATATTTATATATTATATATTTGTTTATATATTATAAAGCAATTTAAATAACGAACAAGCAAATTAATAAACTAAGAAAAATAAATAAAAACAAATTAAAAAATAAATACAAATAGACAAACAAATAATATAAATAAATAAATACATAGACAGATAAGTAAGTAAACTAAATAAATTAAATAAATAAAATAAATAAATAAATAAATAAATAAATAAATAAATAAAATAAATAAATAAATAAAATATATTTCTTACCAGTTGATAGCATCAGTTTGATTGAGAGATTGTAAGAGAGCCGCTGCAGTTTGTTTTTGTAGTTTGTCTCCTCTGAATAAAAGAAGAATCGGTTTAAAGACAGAATAACAGGGGCCTAATAAATATTTAATTTGAGGTGTATATACACCTCTTGCTGTCTCTTCTTGAAATTGAGTATGTTCAGGTGTATGCGCAGCACTAAAAAAACTTATTTCTTCTTCTTTGCCGTTCTTCTTCTTTTCTTTTTTCGCTGATATTAAACGCAGCTCATTAAAATGACCCAACACCACAGGGCATAATACTGAAACAAATACAAGCAGCACCACCAGCAGCAGCAGCAGCAGCAAAAGCAGCAAAAGCAGCAGCAGCAGCAAAAGCAGCAGCAGCAGCAGCAGCAGCAGCAAGTGATGCACAGCATATATAGGAGGTATGGATTTATATATATTATATATATACATTGAATATATATATGCATATATATAAACACATTAAATATACAATATATAATTTATATATATACATATATATATATATATACATTTATATCTGCTACTGCATGCGATGTGTATGAGAAGAAGACGAAGACATCGATGTCTTTGAATCCCCCTCACCTTCTTCAAGCATTGAATTCTTCTCGCAGCACTCTGCTGCTGCTGCTGCTGTTGCTGCTGCTGCAGGTGCGGTTGGGGTGGGTCTGCTGCATACTGCAGCAGCAGTAGCAGCAGCAGTAGCAGCATTTAAATTTGTCTTCGTCTCTAAACCTGAGAAGCTGCGCACTACAGCCGGCGGCTCCACCTTAACCTCTGCAGCAAACAAACAGCAATTAAGGGTTTAGGGTTTAGGGTTTAGGGTTTGAAGGTGTAGCACTGAGGTGTCTAGGGATCTAATATTTAGGGTTTAGGGTTTTAGTGCTTTCTGTTAAGGGTTTGACGATTTAGAGCTTTACGTTTGCTGTTCTAGGGTTTAGGGTTCTAGTGTTTAGGGTTTGATTGTTAAAGGTCTGGGGTTTTAGGGTTTAGGGTTTAGCGCACGAGGGTTTAGGGTTCAGGGCTTTAGGGTTTCCAATTAAGGGTTTAGAGTTTATCCTTTTAGGGTTTAGGGTTTAGGGTTTAGGGTTGCCTTGGGGGTTATAGAAGAGAGTATAAGAGAAGAGCAGCAGCAGCAGCAGCGTCGGCAGCAGCAGCACTTCTGCTGCACGCGTTGCTGCTGTTCTGTTAGCAAGAGAAACCTGAAAGAAAATAAATAAACAAATAAAATATAAATTAATTTAAATGCATGCGGACAACTCAATTAATTTTAAAAATATATAAAAATCAATAAAAATAATTTACTAAACAACAAAAAGTCGCACAAGCAGCAAAAATAAAACAAATATATATTTTTATGTATATATATATACACTATACATCAATATATATATATATATATGTATATATATATATATTTATATATTTATATATGCATGTACTCAATAAAATATAGATATAGGTATATATACATATATATATATATATTATATCATACATACCAACACATATATTTACACAGAGATATATATATATATATATACATACACTAGAAAATATAGATATATATATATATATATAAATTTATATATATGATACGTATATCATTTGATCGAGAAAGAAAAGCAAAAAAAGAAAGACAATAAAAACAAGAAGAGAAAGAAAGCCCCAAACGAAATGCATGCAGACCGACGCATTGAATTTCTTTCATTAATTCTTCTCTTTCTTTATTTGTCTTCGCCGATGTTTTATTGCTGTCTTCAGATAAAAGAGAAGCGAGGTTGTTGCTTTGATGCAGAAGAGATGCCTAAGAGACAATAAAAGAAATTAAATTAAATTATATTAATTAATTAAATTAAATTAAATTAAATTAAATTAAATTTAAAAAAAGACAGAACAACAAAAACACAAAAATCGCAGTTAGGTGTTGGAGACAGTAAAACAAAAAAGGCAAAAGAATAAATAAACTAAATAAATAAACAGATAAATAAATAAATTAAATTAGATTAAATTAAATTAAATTAAATTAAATTAATTAAATTAAATTAACAAACCTGAACGAGGGTCTTGCAAGAAAATACGCGGAATATCAAAGAGAGAAGACCAAAAAACAAATGAAGATATCGAAGAAGCGCTGAATTAATAAATCTAAAAACAAATAAACAAATTAATTAATTAATTAATTAATTAATTAAATTAGTTGAAATAAATGAAGGAGAAGATAATATATTAAGATATTATAATAGATAAACGAGAAAAATATAGATATTATAACAAACAAAAAAACAAATAAAACAAATAAAACAAATAAAACAAAACAAGTAAATAAATAAACAAAACAAATAAACAAAACAAATAAACAAAACAAATAATATTTATATATACATATTATACATTATACATATACATATACATATATATATATATATAATGTACATAATATATAATATATAATATATATTATATATTATATACATATTATATTATATTATATTATTATATGTATATAGAGAATATACAGCAGCAACGAGGACTTACAAACA